TTAAGGACATGGTGTCCTTAACTTTGATGTGTGCATTCTAAAAGTTAAGGACAAGTTCTCCTTAACTTTGATGTGTGCACTGAAAATGTTAAGGATATTGTGTCCTTAACTTTGATATGTGCAGTAAAAATATTAAAGGACAAGATGTCTTTAACTTTGATGTGTGCAGTGTAAATGTTAAGGATTTGGTGTCCTGTATTTTTAACCTTCTGTTAAACTGTATTTTCAGGTTTCTTTATATGTTTTATGCATATGGATCATCAATAGCTGGTTGGAATCATTGTAGACCAGTGATTTCTGTTGATGCAACTTTTTTGAAGTCAAAATATCGTGGTATTTTAATGATTTCAGTTTCAAAGGATGCAAATAACCAAATATTCCCACTAGCCTTTGGAATTGCAGAATCTAAAAATAACAATTCCTATGAGTGGTACTTTAGTGAGCTTCGCAATGCAATTGGGAGCCGTGGCAATTTAATTTTTTTATCGGACATGCATCAATCTATTGCACATGGCATTGCAAAGGTATATCCTGAAAGCCACCATGAGATTTGTATCTATCATTTGGAGCAGAACCTAAAGCGAAGGAAAGTAAAAAGTGAGGTCATAAAACTTTTTCAAAGTGCTGCAAGAGTATATAGTCGCAAAGAATTTGATCTATACATGTCAGATATAGCAAAAGTTGATAAGAAGACTTTTCACTACTTGATGGAAGAACCACCGGAAAGGTGGGCACGTTCTTGTAGTCCACGGCGAATATATGACATGCTCACAACAAACATAGTTAAGTCAATGAATTCTGTGCTATTAGAAGCAAGGGAATTGCCTATATTAAGAATGATGGATTTCATCCAAGTGAAGCTACAACGTTGGTTTTATGAAAGAAGAAATAAAGCAGAAGGATCTTTTTATGACGTTTCTTGTTGGGTAGAAGAGGAATTGAAGAAAAAGATAGATTTAGCTTTTACTTTAAATGTAAGTATTATGTTCTTACTTTAGCTTATTATTTTAATGATAATTTAACATAATGTACTAACTTATAGTTTTTCAACTTTGAAGGTCTTCCCTGTTGATTCATGGCGTTCTAGAGTTGAGGAAGAAGGAATTACTTTCTTGGTGGACATAAACAAAAGAACATGTGATTGTTTTCAGTTTCAATATGATGAATTACCATGTATACACGCAATTGCAGCTATCGAGAAGAGAAACATCAAGAAGTCCAATTTCTGCTCGGACTGGTACTTAAAGAAATCTTGGCTGAAAACATATGAAAGACAAATACATCCTNCTGTCACGACCCAATTTTACCTATAGGTCGTGATGGTGCCCACACTACAGCTAGGCAAGCCAACTAATAAATTTAGCATACATTGATAAAGTTTAAAATCAAAAAAAATATAAACCCAAACTCTACCAATGTGTGTGCCAAGACCTGGTGTCACAAGTGAATGAGCATCTAGTAGATTATACAAAACTCCAAATACTGTCTAAAATAATATAGACAGAATGTAAATATAGGAAGAGACACTGGTAGTTGCAGAACGGCTCAGAAAGGCAGCTCACCACTATGCCTCGGGATGACGTGGGTAGGTGATGATAGGTCCTCCACTAGTACCTATCTCAGATCCTGCACAAAAAGTGCAGCAAGTGTAGTATGAGTACGTAAACAACGTGTACTCAGTAAGTATCAAGCCTAATCTCGAAGTGGTAGAGACGAGATGGCCGACTTTGACACTCACTATGGGTCAATAATAACTGAGATAAAACTAGGATATTTAAATCAGCATGATTTACAGAATTTACAATAATTTATTCAATCAGCAGAAATAATCAAATTCCTTCAAATGTAACAATTCTCAATATATTAATTAAATTCCTTCAATTCAAATAATTTCCAATTTATCAATTGAATCTCATTATTAATTAGCTTCACAAGCTGAAATAAATTATTAAAGTATCGTGTAATTATTATTATTAGGCACGATTTCTGCCTAGGACGTACGACCCAATCCAGAGTGCCGTGTACACTGCCGAGGGACGTGCAACGCGATCCATAGATGCATCTATCCTGCCGAGGCGTTCGGTCCGCTCCACAAGAAAGGATGACATTTTCTTATGTGCCTCTGAAAGGAGAGTATATTTATTATAAGATAAATTCGGGAGGAGAATAATTTCTTTTAACAATTAATTGATTTAAACAAAAAATCAAGCTTATGAGATTTCCATCCTTTAATATCTTTATCTAACAATTCACTATATATTCATATATATCAATTAATATTAATTAATCAAAGAATACTATTTACACAAGTAATGCATGCTTTGAGTCCTAAACTACCCGGACTTTAGCATTAATAGTAGCTACGCATGGACTCCCGTCACCTCATGCGTACGTAGCCCCCACAATTAGCAAAAATTATTTAATTTTAATCACCTATGAGGTAATTTCTTCCTCGCAAGATTAGACAAGAGACTTACCTCGTCTTGCTCCAATTTAATCCACTATAAGGCCTTTTCCACGATTATCCAACTCTGTCTGGCTCGAATCTAGCCAAAAATAATTCGATACAATCACTAAAAATTATAGGAATCAATTCTATAAGAAAATACTATATTTTTAATAAAAATCCCGAAATTAATTAAAAATTCGTCCATGGGACCCACGTCTCGGAATCCGGAAAAAGTTACGAAATCCGATAATCCATTCAATTACGAGTCCAACCATACCAGTTTCACTCAAATCCGACTCCGAATCGATATCGAAATCTCAAAAATTCGTTTCTATGAGATTTCAAAAAAAAATCCAAATTTAAATCTCAAAACACTAATTTATGGTGAAAATAATGATATACTTGTATATGTAGACCAAATCCGAGTTAGAATCACTTACCCCAATGTTTTTCCCTTGAAAATCTGTCAAAAGTCGCCTATGCTCAAGCTCAAGTTCGTCAAAAAAGGCAAATGGGACGAATGTCCTCTGTTTTTATAACTTACAGCTCTGTCCAGTTCGATCAAGGAGCTCGATCAAGGGGAGCTCGATCTCAGGGAGCTCGATCTTGGGAGCTGGTCATGGACTCGATCAGGCCTCGAGCCTGGGACATGGTCATGGCCTCGATCAAGTTCGATCTTGGGTCTTGATCCCGACCCTCGAGCCTTGCCTTCGATCGTGTCTTCGATACTGAGCCTCGTCCCTGGCTTCGACTCAGGCCTCGATCATGGGCTCGATATCTGGGTTCGATCTGGGGATCGATCACAACCCAGAATATACAGCAAAAGGGAAAATTGCAGCAGCTTTTTAAGTCCAACTTTTGATTCATTAACCATCCGAAACTCACCCGAGGCCCTCGGGACCTCAACCAAATATACCAACAAGTCCTAAAATATCATACGAACTTAGTCGAACCTCTAAATCACATCAAACAACGCTAAAACCATGAATCATACCCCAATTAAAGCTTAATAAAACTAAGAGTTTTCAACTTCTAGGTTCGATGTCGGAATCTATCAAATCAACTCCGATTGACCTTAAATTTTACGCACAAGTCATAAATGACATAACGGAGCTATGAAAATTTTCGAAACTGAATTCCGACACCGGTATCAAAAAGTCAACTCATCGGTTAAACTTCCAAACTTAAATTCTTGTTTTTAGCCATTTCAAGCCTAATTTAACTACGAACTTCCAAAATAAAATTTCGAACACGCTCCTAAGTCCAAAATCACCATACGGAGCTGTTGGAATCATCAAAATTCTATTCCGGGGTCGTTTTCTCAAAATACTGACCGAAGTCAAACTTAGCACTTTAAGGCCAACTTAAGGAACCAAGTGTTCCGGTTTCACCCCAAACACTTCCAAATCCCGAACCAACCATCCCCGCAAGTCATAAATCATTAAAAGTACCTACGGAAAGTTTTTATTTTAGGGAACGGGGTTCTAAAAGTTAAAATGACCGGTTGGGTCATTACATTCTCCACCTCTTAAACAAACGTTCGTCCTCGAACGGGTTTAGAATTGTACCTGGAGTGCTGAATAAGTGTGGATATCTGCTCCTCATGTCTTCCTCGGCCTCCCAAGTCATTTCCTCGACTGGTTGGCCCCTCCACTGGAATTTTACTGCAGAAATCCTCTTGGACCTCAATTGGCGAACCTGTTTATCAACAATGGCAATTGGCTCCTCTTCATAACCCAAGCTATTACCTAGCTGAACTGTGCTGAAGTCTAACACATGTGATAGGTCTCCATGATACTTCCGGAGCATAGATACGTGAAAAACCGGATGAACTCCTGATAGGCTGGGAGGTAATGCAAGCTCATAAGCAACCTCCCCAACTCGTTTCAACACCTCAAATGGGCCTATAAACCTTGGGCTCAACTTGCCCTTCTTCCCGAATCTCATAATTCCCTTCATCGGCGAAACCTTCAAAAGAACATTTTCACCTACCATAAATGATATATCACGCGCTTTCTGATCTGCGTAACTCTTTTGTCTGAACTGTGCTGTACGAAGTCGCTCCTGAATCAACTTTACCTTTTCCAAGGCATCACTTACCAAAT